AGTTTACGAATTGAAAGGGAGGGAACGTAAATGCTTAGAAGCCCCAATGGACGGCACTATTGCACTTATGTGTCGTGTTTAGCTCTGCTGCTCTATGAGCATTAAAGACTGAATCTTCTCACTCTTCTCGTGCCCAAGCCATGGCACCTGGACACGAGATGGGTTTCTCAGTTCATCTCCCTCGTGTTTACCTGAGGCACTTGAAATGCAGCCTCTAAGAGGTGCGATTTCCACACAGCAAGTCCATGCTTCCTGTCGTGTATCGCTAGATCATGGCCCTCACAAGCCTGTGGGATCCTTCAGCTACTGTGAGACTTGTACCCCTGATCAGACCCAGCATTCACCTCTGTAGCAGCTGATATAATGATGATCATGAGACCCATTATTTATTCCAAAAGTCTCACGTCGTCTCAAGATATTTCCAGCAGGCTCCTCCATTACCGTGATTGACTAATTCCGTGCATGAGTGGTACATGTATAAACCTTAAGTCAGTCCACTGCTGGATGAGATCCTCCTCATGCCTTGCGGATTGTGGGTTATGTGACCATACTTCACCACACTGATAATTTTGAGTTGAAGGTGGTGAGCGTAGACATGGGGACATTAAGGTAAAAGCCATCACTCGCAGTTATGCGATATACTAATCCACCAATCAACAGCACACAAGCTAATTCCATCACTACCATATCCGTGGTAGATCACAAACGCGTTTTCTTCCTTGGATGTGAATCTGTTGCTCGTCTTGACCACTAGCCACCTTCCCATTAATTTGCACCAGCACTCAGAATGCTGCCATTAACAAGCAAGGGAATGTCTCCTCCTTATTCTGCGGAAACAGGACGATGACGGCTTCATTTCGTTTAACGAATACCGGGACTTCTTGGAAATGAACGGTGTGGATCAAGACTGCAGCAGTGTGGACACAAGCAAAGATGGCAAGATCTCTTTCGAAGGTGGGTGACCATGGTCTAGGGAAGATCATGGAACAGGGCCATTACCTTGTTTGAAAGGAGCATACACAAACTCAGGAGGGCATTATATAGTCCGTGAGTCATAATGACATCTGCCTTTGTTGCGACCATGATAAATGCTCTACCTTGCTGATGCTAAAGGGCTACACTGGGGATAATCGGACCCACGGAAGATAGAGAGGACAAAGACTAGGGAAAGGCATTGCTATATGAACAAAAATGACACGTATTTACAAAGAAAAGCTTCCACACTCTCTCCTGAACTGGAATGTCTTCCCAATTAAATAAATTCTCGTTTCACTTGTGGGAGGAAATTGGAGTACCCACAGAAATCACGCTTATACAAAGACTAGCAGTAAAATGTGCACAAACATTTGAGAATCCATTGCACTACTGCCATCTGACAACCTGTAGTTATCAAATTCATCACATTGTAATTTACATTCAAGTGAAAATTGTGTTTTTTAGATTCTCATTTTAAATTTAGCACATATACACAGCATTCTCAGGAAATTCAAGGTAGAATTGTGGTTATTTTACAGATTGTTTCGTTGCATTCTCTTCTACAAACGATACAGCACAATACCGCATACCCGACTTGATGTTAACTGAGGTATAGGTGGTTATGTAACAAGGTCGGATAAGTGAACATCTAAATAAAATTAGAGTTCGGCCTTGCACAAATAGGTTCCTGGACCAAAACAAAGTCCTTTAAATTTTACGAACTTCTTTACTGTACTTTAGAAGTAAGTTAATGTGTGTAACATTTTCAGTCGATTCAGATAGGGTGAGGTCATGTAGGTATACCGGTTGGGTGTGGGCATCGATCAGTGATGGGCATTTTTTGTTATAAATAATGGGTTTCCCTTGCTTCATTCGGGTTCAGTTTATGTGATTTCGTGTACAGTATATGCGGCTAACATTTTATACCCAAAATTTGCGATGTGCGGTTTGAATTCATTGAAATGCGGCTATGTGGCTGGACATGCGACATTGTGTCTACCTCTGCAGCTGTCTCCTGCGGTCCATTGTGAGTTGTGTCCCCGCTACGCAATTTAGCTTTGTCCACCCTCTTTTGGAACACATTTACGTTAGAAAGCGACGGAAACCTGTACGTATACCATCCATTTGAAATTACATTTCTCTCCCATGCCAGAGTTCTCTGAATTCTACAAGAAGGACTCTGACAAGCAGAAGGAGAAGCTGAAGCTGAAAAAGTGAACTCCAAGGACATGCCTGTGGGGTGAAAGGGTTGCTTTTAGTTTGTTAGGCTTCCACTCCTTGCTTCTTAATCATCATGACCAGTGTCAACCCTACTACTAAGAATAGGGCATGTAATGATGTATTAATTCATGAAAATCAATCCGTACTCTCTCATTCGTGCGTACAATCAGCTGTGCAATAATTCGTCATTCAAATGGTATTGAATATTATCTGCAAACATTACCGTTATGCTGAGCAAATTTAATGGCACAAATGAGATGAAATACATTACAAATAAGACCTAAAAAAGGAATAGATTCTTGAACATAATAGAGAGAATTGTGACATTTCACTGAATCAGAGGATAATCTTTACATGCCTAACAAAAAAAGTACTGCTACCATTTATAGCTATTACTACTGTATTTGACACTACTGCTAATAGCACTACCACTAAGACTCCATTGAAATGTACTTTTATTACAAAGCATTTCAGTAATATTTCAGATGTACTGTGCTGTGCGACGTACTGGCACCATGATCGAAAATAGCGCACTGAAACAAACTTCAACGAGGCATAATGCATCCATTCACTATGGAATAAACACCTAAGTGCAGTACACGTACTCATAAATACCAGTCACAGATCACTCTTGAACAACACTACTGTCAGAATGCTGGACGTGGCTTGGTAACCTGAAAGGCAGCTGTGGTCAGAATGCAAACGTGGTTCTTTCTACAAATGCAGCCCAGCGTTCTGATGGATTGTTTTTTTCATTTGCATTGAAATAAACCCAGCCTTGCTTAAATAAAAGCTGACTACCCCGTGTTAATATGTACACGTGTGCATACGTGAGTGTATGTATGCTTGTGTGTGGTTGTGTGTTGTGTCGCTGTTAGCGCGCTGTGCTGCGAACTCTGCCACCGGAGTGACGATAAAATCAATCCATGTGTAGTGGCATTGTTGTGCGCGATGCGCGATCGCAACTACTCTTGGCCTGTAGTACCGGCCCCCGGTCAACAGGGGGCGGAAGAAGGTCCGAACTCGAGTGCCCGGATTCAGTCGGCCCGTTGGGCTCAGGTGATTCCAGGGAGGCTCGTGACTGGAGGTGCATGTGGCACATTAGGAATTGACCACTCTTTTAATTATTTCCTTGTGCAACAACGGAGTAAAGTTTGGTTCTGTGAAAGTCTTGATGTGCTGTGCAGTGCAGCAATGCATGTGTACAGCAGCATGTGGTGACTGGGTTGGGCCTGTAGGTGGCTGGCAGGGTTATTGAATAACCGCACGTGTACACCAGTCACGTGGTTAATGGCGACTCGGTTCAAGAATTTATGTGTGACACACGTGCTGTTGCATCTTATAGGTAAAGGACCCAAACGTTGTTTTTTATCGTAATAAAGTATTCTAGACTTCAAGCTTTACTTTGGGGGCTGGGGGGATCACGTCACACTCCAGGTCCCACTGGAAGGTTCTAGAAGGAAAGCGTGGTTAAGAGGCGGAGAGAGCTGGGACTGTGTATAACAGCCGGACCCCTGAACGGGTCCGGCTCTTGTTGTCCACTGAAGATCCGAAGACGCCACCCTGAAGACCTAGAGCCAGGGCCAGGACCCGAGGACCTTGGCTGGGTCGGGTCAGAGTTAGCCTCCCTAGACCCCGTTAGCTGGAGTACCGATACTAGAACTGTTGCCCCAGTGTGTACCAAATGCTAATCCAGAGAACAGACCTCCCTAGAGTATCGGGTGGAAGGGGCCGTTACCGCTTATCAGGGAATGTTATCGTTATTGTTAAATAAACGTGTTGCCTCCAGAGAAGCCTCTCCATTTACACCCGCTACACATATGCAGGGACTGGATGGAAAGTTGCCTCGCAGAATTGTGAGAGATGGCTGCGACTTGAGAAGGCCTTGATCCAGCAGTGGATGTATCACACCTAATGATGACCGTTTGCATTATGGTCGAAACGTCGTGAGAATTTTTTTTGTTTTAAATATATTTTATTATTTTATTGTTTCCCTTCAACTTGACTTTACCGAAAGAGCTAAGAATAATTATATACATTGCGTAGGCCACGATTGTTGGCATGTCCGATTCCCCAAGGGATTTACGCACAGGGATTGCGTAGGAATGCAAATTCTCTTTTGGCCGCAATAACTCAGTCGAAAGGCACGATAACCGTTTTCAGAAGTTGCAGTTTTGTTATAATTCCCAGAAAGTGTTTTACGTACACGCACCAATCTTCATGAGATTTTTATTTGAACGATTCAAGCCCAAGTATGTTTAATGGAGATATAATACAAACATCACAAACTGGCTTGTTGTCAGGAGCATATGTTTGAATTATGATTAAATTGTAATGGATGAATGAATCTGTGGCTGATATACTGTATATCACGGTGGGCGACGTACGGTGCGAAAGAAGTTCAACAAACACATATAAAATTGCAAATTTATTAACGAAGTAATCTGTACTTTCAACCATATTTGTGGCAATGCATACATTTAGTACATTAAAATTTTGGCATAAGTTATGAAATAATCTGTGAGATTGGTGCACTCTTTTTCTGGTTGCAATTTTTACAAACTCGCAACGACTGATATGGGAAAGTGAGGTTATGTGATTTGACCGCCCACTATGGATGTTCAGCCTGAACAACAGCTCAGTTACAAGCAGCTTTGGTTTTAATAAACGTGATATCGACTGGTGTCAGCTAAAACAAGCAATCATTATCCAATGTCTCAGTGCCTTTAAGTTTTTAGTTCTTTTATTATTTCAGAGCTATTATACATTCGGGAAAGCCTTCAATCATCAGCTGATTGATCAATGATGATGCTGATATGAATGTCAATCCTGCATCTAGAAAATAATAAAGCAAAGTTGATGTAATACATCTATGAGACGATAGAAAATACTTAATGTCAATGATAATATCCCTAAAATAATCAAGTCTATGCTGTGGTGTACAATACAGATGTGATTGCTCCACTGACATAAACACAACATACTTTTGCATAAAAATGAGGCTGATATTTAATTGAAAATAAGACTTTTTCCCAAACTGCCATCCAATTAGAAAACTTCCCTGTAAAGTATTTGTGTATTTATTAATGCGTGCCTTTTTTAGTTACGTAAGAATATTGGTCCTACAACTAGCTGATCCATTACAATTTCATTATTTTAAATTAAAGACAAGCCACAGTGAGAGTATGGCCATGCAACACAATATGGATCATTAAGTAAACCACTTTAATCTTCTCTCCATCAAAGGAATAATATACAAATGAGGTAAAAAGCTAGTCTTTCAATGCACACACTTTTATTTGCACTCAAAAGTAGAAATACGTTATTTTCACCCCAGATTTTAATACAATTTGATGAATGAAAGTTGGTGCCTTGCATATCATGTGTTTAAACATATCAAAAGGAAGACACCCACCTTCATAAGGTCGCACTCATTACACACAAAGTACTTTCCACAAATGAAACACAATACCTTGCTGATCTCGTCATGGAACGTAAACCATCACGGGAACTCCCATCATCCTTGCAGCGGATTTTAGCTAGCCATCGACCACAGACGGTCATTGCATCGCTCGATTTCAGATACACTTCTGCAACCATCCGGAACGCTCTTTCTTCCGATATCAGGAAGCCACTGGAGATGTGCACTTTTAAATCTCGATTGAAAACGTATTTCTTCAAAACTGCTTTTGTGTTTTTTTATTTATTGTCCTTCCCCTGCACATTCGATTAGTACGGCTGGCTTCATACGGTGCAAACAAAGTTCAACATATATATAAAAAAACTACTTAAAAATTGAGTCCCTCTTCATTACCATAAGCAGAGGTGGAACGCTTCAGGTTGACTGAATGTGGAAGGCTAAAGAGATTCGTGAGTAAAATACATATTTACACAATGCATTTGTAGGTGGTAGGATAAAAATATATTACAAAAAAGTATTCACAGCGATGTATTTTTAATATCAAGGGGAAAAAAGAGTCCACGAGCAGAACACGTGGACAACTTACGAATCCAAGAGTCCACCATCTGCCTTTGTACCACGTGGTCTTGTTGTGACCTTGCAGTGTAGATTTCTTACATACATTTTCCTGCCCACTTCAGCAATTGTTTCTTGCTGTGGTTGTCCCACCTGATGATGGACGCTTGTGTTGCGCCCGAAACGTCGTGAATTAATTTATTTTATACCTACGTGACTATACCGAAAGAACCAAAGAGTATACGGTTTCCTGAATATAACACATTTTTTAAATAAAATGATTCGTATTACAAATGGCATGTATTAAATGTATTAAGAACAACGTATAAAAATGGTAGTGTAAATTGACCACCATCATTAACACTACTGCATGTAGTGTTAATAGAGAACACCATATCTCTACTGTGCATAGTTTAATGAGCACACAAACAGTGTTGACGATGCATTTTTTTTATTCATAGCTTAAAGAATATTCTGGTAGCTTTCTGCCATGACGAATTCGAGCGCTGAAAGCGTTTGCTGTCATTGCAAAGTAATCTTCTAGAAGGCACAAATGATTAGTGCTTCCTTAAATCAGCAACATTAAAATGATGCTCATTAATTCATCAGATCTTTTTAGTTTTCTGGAAGCCTGAGGATGATTTATTCAAGATTCAAGGCAAACATCAACCCTATGTGTTGTTGATACTCAACCAATGAACTGACTCGCACACACACCAAGGAAACAGGGTATTCTTAATCTCACACAAAATCCCCTTAGTTGACCATACTTCACCATCATCCTGGTTTTGCGGGTTGACTGTAAAAAGCGTGAAGCATGGACGTGGGAGGATAGAAGGACAGGAAAACAAGTGATTTTGCCAGGAGATTGAAGTATAACACAGGACTGAATCTATATATGCAGAGCTTTGTGTGTTATATCTTTATTATGCGTGATGGGTTTTCTCCTGGTTATCACATTTTCTAGCCCATGCCGAACACTCATTAATACAATTGTCCAAACATTCTCCATGCAGGAACCCTTTTCAACATGAGTATAAATTACATGTGTTTTCCAAAACAGTACATTATTACATAAGCACACACATGAGTATCAGGCTGAATGAAGCGACATAACTAGGGGTGTTTTTGGCATTGAGAGTAAAGGAAGAGCTCAGCATGCATAAGTGTCAGGTACGTGCACATTGAGGCCACGTCAAGTGTAGAAGGCTCGCTGGCAGGTCACGGGACAGATCCATCCATGTGCCGTGGGTTGAATATTCGAGAAGATTGGCAGATGCACCACCTTGGCTCCCCACAGTGTCACCTCTCCCAGCCACATGTAAACATGCACACGTACCACCCCAACCCCACGACCGCCCCCACCCCTCACCAGCCCCACGCACCTGGAGAGCCCCACCCTTACCTGGGTGCTCGCAAATAAAAGTGCGCGCATCGCTGCGATCCTCACATCAGCGGCTCCAGATTCGACCTTCCAGTTGCTTACGGATCACCAACGACTTCAGCCATGGTGGGGAATACACTCATTGCACCATCACGACAAAGATGCCTGGCATTGCCTTTCACATACACACTGATACCGAACGTTTCGTTAGTGAGCACCTATTAAATAGGAAAAATATTATATATTCGTATAAAAACATTCTATATATTTTATGTGGAGAGACATATGTTCTCGATGACGCTAAAGATAATTTTCCGTTACCTATTAAGGTTGTTAAACAATTGAATAAAACAAAATCGGCTTTGGACACTGATATCCATACGCTAGTCATGGAATCGATAATTGAATCCAGTGAAGACGAACGTAGAATAGT